TGTGGCGTCTGTACGTACATATGTATGTATGTATCTCGCATAACTCAAAAATAAGTAGCCTCAGAACGTTAACATTTTGTATATAGAACTGCTACAATACGTAGATGTGCACTTCTCATTTTGGTTGCAATCGACCGCACCAAAATTATATAAATATATGTATATAATAAACACGAGGGTGTCGGAGGACAATTACTCAAGTAATTTATCAATTTTACTGCATAAATTGCTTTTCACTCAAAATTGTATTAGCGAAAATGCTTAATCAGAATAAGTTCTTTGGTGCTCTGTATTGGTTCTGGATCCCTTCACTTCACGGAAATATTAGGCTTAACTTAATTTGCCAGTTTGGCATGACCTTATTACTTGAGTAAAGGACGAAACACCTTCGTATTTATTTATTAATTATTGTTCATTGAACGGGAGTTGGTTTGTTCCCCTTGAAAAGTCAATGGCAAGTTCTGATCAATGGCAATGATTACTTGCTTTTAATTTAATTTTTTTTTCCAATTGAAATTTTGTTATTCATGATTTAATTCAAGTCCCCGTAAAACATTTTTAACAAATTACATTCAAGTTACTTTAAAACAATTTTCAGAATTAAACTTACTACCTATGGGTTCACTCTTTTTAGATACTTCTACTAAAATTGATATTAGGAGATAATATAATCAATATTTCTTTTAATAAATAAATTATTATTATCTTACTTTGCAGCTATTGCACAAGTATTAGAATAATTTGATTTCGAACTAAGTGAATTTAAAATCATACGACATATATATAGTATATACTCGGCTCAGTGAGCTCAGTTTCTTTATTCTTACACGTTTGTAAACTGTGCATTTTTTGCTTTAAAAATGATTGAATTATGTTGTTCTTATATTCCGGGTAAGGTTTTAATGCCTTTACATAACCTGCATGCAATAATTGTGTTATTATCAACAACTTAAAAGTTTTTTAAGTGCGGCTAAACCTAATTTTTATTTAGCATGGCAGCCATATTTGTTTCCATTTGAAACTTAGCAGAATAGTGGATTTGATGCCAATCTAGAGAAACTAAGCTTCGCAACAACAAAGTAACGTCTTCTCTTATTATTGCGAATTAAATTATACTTAATTCATTCTGGAATTATCATTTAAGTTAATAGCTTATTTTCCTCTACACGTAACTTCTGAAAAGGGTCCTTTTGGTTCAATGGCGTTTTAAGTGCTCCTTGCCGAAAAGATATTATATATTCACAGACACCCATCGTAATCCGTAATCCATGCTGGGGTACTCAGGCGTCAACTAAAAGTTTTTAACCTGTCACAGAATCCATGACTCATTCGGAGTTTATATCGGGCCCAGTGATGTGGTTCCCGTCTCTGTTAAGCTTTATCAGGTCGTAGAGGCAAATGAAACGTGAACGCAGTTCAGTGCTATCAATCTTTCTGTTAAATTATAAATATATTCAATTGGAATTACGGCTTTAACTTCTTCATTATGAGAAGAAACTAGTGCAACTAATGTGGGCATGCCATTCGGAATGAAAGAAGCTTATCTATTGGCTGTATTCGTTTCGTAAATGACATGAATGAGTATGCACGTGCTTTTATGTCTGAACTCAGAACTTCGAGTTTAGCAATCTAAAATACAAAGCTATTTTTAGAAGGCATCTTGCAACTTCTATTAGGATTTCGTCTCTTTCGTAGGAGTAGAAAACCTATTTACTGTAAGCGCAATGCAACTTATATAAGATCTCATGTTGCTCACATATGTAACTTCACCAGAGGTTTTATTTATATGTTTCTGTGAATTTAAAAAATATGAAATTTTCGGTAGATCTGTATTAACTAAAATGTTTTTACTTTTGCATATCTAGAACCATTAGGTGCATCAGGTGTAAATAGTTAATTTATATTCAGGAACTGACTTTTTATGTCAATGTGACTTTTTCTTCCTTGTACGAAGTAAAAAAGAAGTATTGTAATCGCGAATAATTTCGGGGATTATATTTCAACGAAAATATCCCTTTTGACCGCTATCAAATGCAATTTAAAGATGTTTTTGCTTGACATCTGGGCGTAAGAACAGAATAAAGAAGTCTTTTTCCCCAAAGGAATTATAAAACTGACTTGAAATGGATTCAGAAGAGATTTTTTCGGGGCGTCTGTACGTCTGTATGTATGTATGTATCTCGCATAACTGAAAAACGGGTAGCCTCAGAACGTTGAAGTTTTGTAAATAGGACTGCTATAACATGTACATGTGAACTCCTATTTTGGCTGCAGTCGACCGAACCAAAAGTATATAAAGATATGCATATATATATATATATATATCCACTCTCTCACTCGTCTCAGTGAGATATGTTTCTTTATTCTTATATGTTATGTTTGTAAATTGTGGATTTTTTGCTTTAAAAATGATGGATTTATTTTGTTCTTATCTTCCGGTTAAGGTTTTCATGCCTTTAGTTAACCTGCAGGTTAGAGTTTTACTTCGCAGCACAAAGCACGTCTTTCCGAATTAAATTATGCTTAATCCATTCTGGAATTATTATTTAAGTTATTAAATTATCTTATATATTGAATCAGCGTAGCGTCCACAATAAATTAAGTTATTTTCTACGGGTTCACTGTCTTTTGCCGAGAGAGAGGAAAAATAAACATTCAGTTTTGTGCATCGAAAAATCTTCCTTCTTGCCCGCTGGCCGAATTGCTTGTTTTTGCATAGAAACTGTAAATTTAACCGTAAAAATTCTTTTTTGATTGTTTATAACTGTATTTGTTATTATATTGTTTTCTATATCTTTCAATTTTTAATATATATTTTTAATTTATATAACTTAATTTACATAATTTATTTTTTATAATTAATTTACATAATTATTTTTTTATATTTTGTATAGTAATATAATTTAACATTCCGTACTAGGAAGTCATGTGGTCTACTATCATTTGACTCCCAAGGTTACATCTCATGGAACATACAAACTGCAAATTAAATATTTAAGCAGTATAATTCTGTGCCAATGATTGTTTAAATTCGAAAAAGATTTGTATAATCTTCAATTATGAATATCTTTATTCAGAAATTATATGAATTTTATAAATTTTAATTATCATAACGATATCAAAACATTGTTGGTATTCGCTATACAGGTATTGACTCTTAATATAAAATTTTCAGGTAATTAAATGCATATAAAGTCATTTAAATTTTTACTGTAAAACACTCTATTCGTTTTAAACAAATTTTATTAAAAAATAAGAACAAAAGTTTATATTTTGAACTACATTAATGTGCAATTAATTGAACTAAGTGATACACAACATTGCTATTAGTATCCTAAATTTATATTGGAGACTTAATATATTAGGATTACAAGTCATCACATAACTCGCCAAGAAAGTTTTTAATTAAATCTTTACAATCCTGAAATTAATTTACGCCACGATAAAAAGGTAGTAAGAATTGAATGCAAAATTACGAATTTTAGTATGATTATTGTTTCCAAGTAGATCGAATTGTTTTGCTAATAAGCCAGTAGTTTCGTCATGAAATCAAGTACCTGTGTAAAATTTTAATAAATAAATGGTAGATGTCTTATACTGCCAGCGAATTTTAAGTAGAGGCTTGATTTCTTTAACATATTCAGCACAATATGAAATTTTCTTTTGACCGATCTTTAGCATTTTACTTCTTTTATGTTCTTTTAATAAAAAAAAAAAAAAAAAAATTAAAAAAATAAAATTCGAAAGGTTTCATATTTTACAATTCGCCTAAAGGGGAGTTTTTTTAACGTTTTGTGGGTTACCTTTATTTATTAAATATTGTGTTCTTCCCACTTAAACCATAAAATTCAATTCAACAGCAATACCGCAAAATAATTTTAAAATGAGCATATCTTTAGGATTTCCGATAGAGTCTCGGGCACTGGAGATAAAAAGTTATTTTTTGCCCTACAGTGTTGCCATTGCTCGCTTTGAAATCTTTGAGTTCGTTAATCAAAAATCCTTTAATGTTTGACAAAATATGAAGTAGATAATGCAACAAATTTCAAATTCCAAGCTCGGGCTTCCATATGCCCATATTCGTGTTTAGACGTACGTTATTCAAAATTTGATGGCTCTAGGTACCGTTGTTTTATCACAATGCAAGAAGCGTACACATATTTATGCAGTTTCTTCATTATTTAATTTCTTTGAATATAACACAGGGTTCTAATATTTGGTGGCAACAATTTGAAAAGTGAACCGACATTCTTAGTGAACCCATGTAATATTTCAAAAACAAAATTAATAGTTCTTTTTGAACTTAGGCTCTTTAGGCTAATAAAGTATGGAATATTACCTTTGCCTCCCGATTTAGCTCTATATATTTAATATGTATACCTAAATTTCTATTTCCATATATGTATATATATTATACATTTCCAACGTACCTTCACAAAATTAATTTTGTCTTTTCTATGCTTTCATGCTGTGGATGTAATAAATAATCCTTCAAAGGTAATAATGCTTCAGTCCTGCATGCTTAAAATGAGAAGTGCTATGTTAAATTTCTGCATATTTATACATTTTCATTCACATAAATTAATTTTTCTTCTGTATGCATCTCTATTCATTAATATTTTCATATAAATATTCAATAAATGGCAATATAAATGATAAAAATTTAATAAGTATATAAATAAGTATCTATGAACATTTTTATATTTAGATTATAATAGGATAATGTGATAGCAATAATATATATTTTTAAAAATTTGTATGTATTTATTCTTGCAGGTATTCTGTTCTAGGTTATGTTAGAACACTCGAACTACCAATGCACTTAAGAAGATCTCTTCCGCTGCTCTTGAAGTTTACGCAAAGTGCGGCACCTAAGTCGGAATGCCGAGGTCAAAATCTGCTTCGTCTGTCTGTCCGTCAGCAAAGGTTTCAGTCTCATCACGTGACCGACCACCCCACCTATTTAGCGAATGGGAAAGGAAGGAGGGACGGAAGGAGAAAGTGAAAGCGAACTTTTTCGGTAGTTCGTCTCCAACTCGTCGTCGGTTAAGGACGGCATTGTCTTCACTCTCTCTCTCTTTCCTTCTCCCGTTGCCTTGGAAACGGACTTGAACGCCATCATCATGTCGCCCGCTTGACAAACACTGACAAGGTATGTTTCCTGACACGTTTTACTCCGTGCGTGAAAGCACGAAATATCTAACTTAATAATTCTGAAGCATTTTCAAAATAGAAATTTTCCAGTAGATTTCGAGATTTTTGCAAAATTTTTCTTAAAAAATTTTCAGGATTGTAAGAATTCAATTAAAAAATTTATTTGACGAATTTTAATGTAACAGTTCTGTATGTAATGACTTGCATTCCTAATAAACTAAATCTCCAGTATAAATTCAAAATACTAAAAGTAATGTTGTGTACCACTTGGTTGATTTAATTACACATTAATGTAAGATAAACAAAAGGTAAACTTTCTTAACTATTTCTTAATAAATTTTTTGTGAAACGAATAAAATATTTCACTGTGAAAATTTGTAATTACCTGGAAAATTTATATAAAGAGTCAATGCCTGTGTAGCTAATATCAACAAAATTTGTACCTGAAAATTTTTTTAGCTTAACTTTGCATAACATCCAAATTAAAAACATTCAGATTCTAATTTAGCTCACTCTACACTCATTGTTTTATTCAAATATTTATTGAAGAATGGCTTTAAATTACGTTACGCACATCACACTGTGAAAAATTTACAGTTAGTTTTTTTAAATTAAAATAATTTGTAGTGTGATTTTTTTTAATAATGGTTGAAAAAAATAGTTTTAGAAAAGTAAGTTCTTTGTTCTTGAATTTATTTCGATGTTGAGTTAATTCGTTCTGTTGAGGACATCATTTGATAGCAGTTCTGTTGATTATTGTAATGCTATAAAATGTGAATATGTAATGTAGGAGCTAGTAATGTATGAGTTTTGACACGCATGAAATTTTGTTTTTAAATTATGTGTCGCGACATAAATAGGGTTATAGTATGAACATATCGATTAATAAAACGTATATAACTGTGCTGTCTAGATTCGAGAAACAGAAAAAATGATTTGTCTGAGAAGATTTTTTTACATATTTATATTGCTTAAATAAAATAATTTGTATCATTATGAAAACAGAAAATTCTTTAACACAAGTTTTAGAATGTTAAAAAAAAAATAGATGTTCGAACATTTACAAGATAAGTTTTACTAATCGAACAGTTAAATTACACGTCATTTAATTAGACTGTATATAAAACTGTTTATTTTATTGTTCTGAAATTAACTATGGATATTTCCTTAAATTATGACGTACTTTCCAATAAACATCTATAATAAATACTTTAGTTTTCAATATACTTCAAATAAATATTTTTACTGTGCTTCCAAAAAATATATCCTTTCCAATAAATAATAATTAAAAAATTAATATTTTTTAAAGTTTTACTGTACATAATATCAACTAATACTGTGTAATTATTTTCATTTAAGAATTGTTATTACCTCCATCGAGATTAAAATTTTATTTAGCATAATTTTCTTAGTTAATAAAACTGCCTTAACTAGTATATGAAATAAAAATAAGTATATTTCCAACAATCAATTTAAACTAGTAAATAAAATTCTGTAGATTACATTTAGTAGTTTTATTTCTATAGATTATATAAACTCTTGCAATTATGTATAATATACAATTTTCTAACATATGTTAGAAAATTGAATATTATACATATCTAACATATGTTAGAAAATTGAATATTATACATATCTAACATATGTTAGAAAATTGGATATTATCATATTATAAAATTGGATCTTAGGATGATTTATAGATAATATTTCTAAATGTATGTGCCCAAGTTGCGAGTTGCATACATTACTGAAAGACAGTTATCGTAAAATTTATTTCAAAACTGAATTAATTCTATCTTTCATAGCGTTACTTAGATTCTAGGTATATTTGTTTTTAATAGCAAATTGGTAATTGTAACTGTATGAATTTTTGCAATCGTGTAATTTTTAAAACTGTAACTGTCTGAAGGTACGTAATGTCTGTGCTATGTAATTAAGTATACCACTGAGTTTCGAAGTGAACATTTTTGAGCTTGTTTTTAATTCTCATTCAAATAAATTATATATCACTTATGAAAGTATATATTATACGGAAGCGAAACATTTATGCAGTTAAAGTATGAAACTAATAGATAATTTGTTTTGGAAAAAGCAAATCACATTCATAATTTTCTTGTTATTGGTACATTAGGGTACACGGGGATATTTTTGCCTGTTTGGTAATATATTTATTGCAGAAGCGGGCATATAGTGAGATACAGTTGTCGGGACTATAAAGGTAAGAAATATCTGCTAATATATAAGCAGCTCCCTGGAATAACATATACATCACGACTAGAAAATGCTCAGCAAAGCTTTATAAATCATCTGAGTTACAAAATACTTGTTTCTATATTAATATTGATTTCAATATGTTCACTCATGAAATTGAATGCTGAGAATTGATGAATAATATAGAATTAATTAATTTAGTTTTCGAGTGGTGAACTTATGGTTTAAATAATTGCTAATCTGAATTAAAAATACGCAATATTCAATTATTTAAACTTGTATTGGATAATTAAAATTTGTCCTCATAATTTACGAAAATTGCTGTTCGAGGAAACGTTTCGATTTTTTGTAATTAATTTTAAAAATACGAATGCTGTCAACATAAATGCTATTGATTACTTATTTACTTATAAATTTGAATCAATAATAAAATTTACTGCAATTTTATTTGAAAATTCGTCTTTCAGATTTCGCAAATTTTATTTTGATTTGATATATTTGATTTTATTCGCAATGCCTATCTGGCGTATGGGTTCCAAGGTTGTTGCATTAGAAGTTGCCAACTAAAGAAAAGAAATTTAAGCGGGAAATTATTTGAAGCGATGTCTCATCGAAGGAAAATTTTCATTTATGGGTACCGGTTTGCCAGGCTGTCTACCAGAACGCTTAATAGTTCCAAATTGACTTCTTAATAGTAGGATATTTTCACATGGTTAGCATCGCTGTTGCAACGGTTGGACGGGTAAAAAATGAAATGAAGGTATTAAAAAATAAGGGGAGAAAAATCTCTTGGCGCGTAATTGGCACTTTGATTCAGTTTTTGAAAGTGGAAACCTTGGCCTTCTCACTAGTGTCGCTTGAAGCAAGAGTCAAGGGCATCTAATTTGCATAATTGACGTTTGTTGGCGGTTTTATATATTTATTTACTTATTTATTTTCTTATTCTAATTATTAGTGACGAAGCATTTTATTCAATCTGGGATGCACCTAACTTTGAGATAAGAAATTTTTTTAACTAAAGACATGAATTATAGCGCTTTTCTAAAATCATAAAAAGATTACTTTAATTGTTGATGATTCTGAGAAGCGTCCAAGTTTGAGATGAGACTTTTCTTTTTTTTGAATAAAGGTTAAAATTATAGTGCATCATAAAGTCGCACAAAGACTATATTAATTGACTATGATTGCATATTCTGTGTATACACAGTATATTAATTTTAGATTAAGTAATGAAGCTAAAATGGAAGACATTTTTAAATAGGCAGGCAATGACTGAAATGAAATATTTTGTTTCTCAGTTCTTTTCTCATGTGATACTAAAAATTCGAAAAACTACTGTAGTTGTCACTTCTTTAAACAAAATATTTTAAAATACTTTTTGGAATCTCAGTTCATGTATTATTTGTGTTTCTTCGGCTTAAAAAGAGAGAGAGAAAAATTTTTGGTAATTTTATCAATGCGAGCTCTCTGCGAAGTAAGAGAAGAAAATGCTACAGCATTATTAGAACTGAAACTTAAATGCATTTTTCCATATGAAATACTAAAACTCATTCAGTTTGATATTTTTGTTGAAAATATTTCATCATTTCCATAATAAAAGATGTACATAAAGATCCTTGAAAACAGTACATATACATTGGTGTACAAAATTTAAAGTTTCATTACACATATATATGCAGTATTTTAATTGCGTAAGAGGAATCCGGTACTTTCTAGCTTTCTAATATTCTAATATTCGTCGTGGCTGAAAAGACAGAGGCTGAGGGTAAAGGTATGATGACGTAGTTAAACACAAGTGAGCTTGAAGTAGCACAATCTTTATTTTCACTCATGTCAAACCATCTTAGTAGACATTTATCCAATCGTAATGAAATACGATAATTTTTATATACACTGGTTTTAAAAGTACGACGTAAGCATTTTAGACAGGACAGCATAAGAGGTACAGAGTTGTTTGCAGGGTAGAAGCAAGGAGAAAGAATGACGTAGTTGTTTTGCAAAGAGTATTTATACTAAGTATGATGCATAAGCACAGCTAACCTGTGATTGGTTAATTTTAGGTTGTTACGTAACATGAAAAAATCTCGAATTTGGGAGAACAGATGAATTTAGGGGGACAATATATAATCTAGAATAGTTAATTTTGAGGTCTGTAATCGTTTTTTAAAGCAACCATTGTATTTTATTATATTTTACACACACACACACACACCACACACATATATATATTATTAAAATGAAAGTTCTGTGTTTCCGCATACAGATATTTTATGCTATTTAGATGTCGTAGAATTGTACAGTAAACATTTTAGGGAAAACTATTGTTTGGCTTTTCTCGAATTTTTAATTTTTTAATCGAATTTTTAATGTCGTTGGCCATTCCTAAGGATAGAAGGGGTGACCATTTTTTTGTGAAGGCACCTAATAGGCGGCCACCGTTATCTCCTATGAGGGAACAGATAATTTGCATCCATGTCTTCTCCAAGATTCGAACTCGGGCCCTTCGGGATCACAGACACTAAGTGAACACTAAGTGCACTAAACACTAAGTGCCTTGTATTCACATGCATATTTCTTTGACATTGTTTTACTCTTCTTCAAGTGCCTTGTATGCACATGTATATTTCTTTTTTGCCTTTTATAAATGTCGTCTGCTCAGCCGGGGCTGCCCAGGGCTGCGGCCTGGCAGCTAGTTGTTGACTCCCTCTGAGTTGGTAACCAATTCTGCATGAATATATCTATACCTGCGTGGTAAGCCAACTCAGCGGTTTACTCCCCTAAACACTA